AAGAGAAAAGTCTTGTTAAATTTTCAATGAACTATTTTATATAGTCATCTATATATAGTCATATTATGCAGTAGGATCTCGGTTTCCCGAACCTCTGACGGCTGAATTCTTTGTAATCAAATTATAGTACACGTGAAAGCAGTTCAATCTGGAACGAGCCATATATCACATTATTTATTATGTCGATCAATGTTTATTTTAACACTATAACGATGTAATTGCTCTAACTCTGAAAGTGGCTACTATACATTAACGTTTGTCTAACAATTCGACACATTTTATTTTTTAAGAAATGCATCCTGTCACAACAAGCTGATCTACAGCTTAATTCGAATTCAAAGGCCTGTTTCGATTTACAAAGGTAAGATTGGAGCTCGATCGGGGGTGGAACAATCGGGTGCGCGTTTCAAATAGAATGAGGACGTTCCTGTTAATCCGCAGATGCGAGTTCGTAACAGCGTTAGCCATTAGGCATAAATTGATATGCATTATAAAGAGACCGTCCCCCACTTATTCCTGCGAGTCGGACGAGGATGAGACGCCAGCCACGAAGGAAAAAAAGAAAAAGAATCCGAAAGAATAGCGTTCGTAACACGTCCAGGCGATTTTCTGTCGCATGTGCGTCGCATGAGCGTTGACGATTGGTCGGATTGACAATGGTCTCCCCTCAGGGCTCGCGCGCCATTGGCTAGGATTTTCGGAGGGTTAGAGACGCGTAGAATAAGGGGATGATACGGGATGAGTCGGAAAGGGGGTTGTTGTGGAATAAGCGTTAAGTAGGGGCGAGCGTGTCGAGGAAGATAGAGGAGGGGACCGTGCGGGTAAATGGCTTCTACGGTGACGAAACAGGCCGATTGAAAATTTTCCGTGAGAAATGGTCGGTGCCATCAACAAACAACTTCTAAATAATTTTCTGGAATCATTCTGTCTGTGCTCGATTTTTTAAAAATGTGGATTTTTGAATTCATGAGAAGTGTGAATAAGTGCTGTTTAAAACGCGAGACAATTTATTACAATTATTAAAGAAAGAGATTTTGGAGTGACTTCTACTTTGTTAAATTAATGCACAGCATTCTTTTCTTTGTAATAACGTTTTAAAAGTTGTTCACTCTAAAATGTAATAGTTAAAATTAATGAACACATTTAGTCGACAGCATGGATCTGGGATTAAAAGTTGTTTTAGTTCCGTTTCATCCAAGCTAAGAAAGATATTTCTCACATTTTGCTTTCGACAAAGTAAACCGTAGAACTGAAGTTTCTAGAAAGATATATACAAACTAATTCTGCCTTTCACAGAGTAAATTTTATTGGACTGAAAATTATTGTGAGTTAGGGTAATGAAAATTTGGGACATGGAATGATCAATGAGCAGTTTTCCAATTTTAAAATACCAGTAAATAAATTAGCACGCATATAGAACAGCGATCCACGCAAACAAGCATGAGAATTCGAATTCCTCCGATATATAAATTCGAGCCCAGCGATACAAAGGATCTCGACAGAATATATTTCCCTCGGAGACGGGCTTGTTACGGAACACCGGTTAATTCGCACGAGCCAAAATATTTGTCCTCGCGTTTCTGATAAAACAAAGAATTCCTGTCGAATCGCTATTGTGCGATCATGGGAGCGCTCAAAAGCAGAGTGGATGAGAAAGAAAGAGAGAAAAGAGAGAGAGAGCCCAGGAGAGCGAGAAACAGAGAGGAGAGAGGCAATAAAGGGGCATCGTGAGCGTACGAGCGCGTGAACGGGGAACGCCCGGAAACAAAGCGTCAAGCCGTGCGTGGTGCGTTTTTTTGAAAATGCCAATTTATCCAGAAAGGGGTTGCTGGAGAGTTTCTCTCGTTCACCGACACGCTACTAAATGGATTTTAATTGATTCCACTGCCCATCGCCGCCTCTCGATCGAACATTCCTTGCGCCAGCAAACATTGCGCTCGTTCAATTTGAATGTACAAACATTATTGAATGTATGACTAGATCACCAATTATTATGTTTCAAAAGCTTTTTGATAAGAAGAAAACATTTTACGGAGTGAACGAGGTATTTAGCATCATCCCCAAAATGGCGGCTGATCAGATGTCGGTATATCGCATTGTTTGTGTGATCACGTTATCGGAACGCTGGAAGTATTTAAAAATATTGTTTGACAATAGTCTCCTGATTATTGATCCGCATATCTTGATAGAAATAATTAACCCTTGTGAAGGCCAGTAGGTACCAAGACAATCGATAACTATAAAAACGAGCCTCAAGGCTTGAATAATCGTATCTGCATTTCCCAAATTGTCCATTTTTTGCACAATCTGAGCGTCAATTAGGGAGAATTTACTGTAATTACTGTATATTCTTAGTCGATTCATTATATTATTTTGAAAATGATACTAAAATCGATGTTGCGAATTGACAAGGTAAAAGGTGGTCCCGAATTTAGATATTTCCCGAATTCCAGATAACGTTTAAGAGATCCAATATTTTGTCTAAACTTAATAGAGATTTTTGTCTAAATCAATAAGCATGGCATTTCCTGCACAAACTATGATTGTTGCTGCATTGTTTAAAAGTGATGCAACGAAACAATTAAATGACGCAAATGTGTACCAATTTCCCAAGTCTGATCAAAAAGAGTAAACTCATCCTAAAATTAAAAATCATCTTCGACAACTTCTCTCGGACACCAGCTATCGCGAACTTTCTTTAAAAAAAATAGCTGTTCCAAAGCGACAGGAATGCAGGAACGTAGAGAGATCACGGCCTAATCGCACACGCTACACATCCCCGGCACAAAGGGGATGGATACAACGTGTGAACGGAAACAGCAGCGACCTGGGATGGGCGGCTAGGATTCGCGATTTCATCGTTCGAAGTGATTGACCGTGCTGATACAAAATTGCAAACGAGCGAAGGAGATGTCGGTCCTGGCTTAGCGCTGATTTATATCGATTACGGGATTATTAAAACCGGGAACCATAGATCACCCGAGACGCCTCGATTTTCCGGGAGGCTGTCCGTGTAACTAGCTTGTAAAGCAGAGAGACGCTTTGGTCTCTCTTTCTCCGGCACCCTCTCCGGCAGCCATAGAAATGCAAATCGAACGGTCGAGAGCGGAATCGCGTCGCTAAACACCGTCGTTTAACGTCCGAGAACGCGCGAGGACGCGCGAGACCGACAGATGTACGCGCTAATGGATTTACGCGTCCCCCGTTTTTACTGTCGCCGTTAAAACGGAATCGCACAGTGAGTCGTAGATCGTAGGTCTGCGGTCCTGCCGGCTATAAGGGAAATCGAAAAAGCGAGGAGAGAAAGGGCCCGATGGAGAGCGCGCGAGCGCGCGCGCGTCACCGAACCACGACTGACAATAAAACTACACGGTGAAATTAGTAGCGACTGTGCGGGACGGAATCTCCGCAGCGGGCCCCGATCTTCGGACGCCTGGCGTCTGTCCGTCGCGTCGGGCCCGAGCAAGGGGCCCACGTTCCCGTTGCCCGGGCCCCGTGCAACCACGTGAATACATTGTCCGCGGGACGCGGGCATAAAACGACACGATATATGGCCCGGTAATTTCTTAATTGCGCCCCGAAAAATTCTTGTCATCGTAAACAGCCGGTTGATTATATTGAAACGGCCCGAGGCGCCGGGGGCGTTTCGTGGTCGAAAACGGGCCCTGGCGGCGAATGGAGGGAGAAGCTGGCCTGTTTGTGCATCTCGTGGTGCAACGCCTCTCCGGAATCGAGTGATTTCGGACGGAAGCCATTGATTCAACTGGCCCGAGACCGGCACCAGGAATTAATCGAGTTCCGCCAATGCGATTTCCGCAGGATTGGGAGGACCCGACGGACTTAATAGCTCCTAGAAACGGTTCGGCTTAGGTTTTGTTGAACATTACAGGCCTGTTCGTTCGTGGAAACCAGCTCCGGGCAGATTCAGATCAGTGAGTGACAGGGTTTAAACGGGCCCGGACGCGAGTTCGAGGGAATTCGTGGCATTCCTCGGGCCTGCTGCCCGCTTGAAAGAAGATATCGCGAGGCGCAAGGGGGGCGTCGGGACCCCGGCTTGATGAGATGGGAAGATTAACCTCCGTGGACCCGATATTGCGAGCCTCAACTCGCCCTGGAATGGTTTGTAATTTTCGAGCGTGACACTGGAGTCCTCGCGTGGTATCGTGAATCAGCGAGCAATTAAGACCGTCTTTTTAGGCGATTTTACTTGAGGATGGTCGAATTTCGATCGACGCCCAAGTGTCTATCCTCGGGATCATCCCTTGAGGACTTAATCGAACGTTGATATAACTCTTGAGGTAGCACATTGAGGTTTTTAAAGCGCAATTAAAAAGCTATTCTACTTCCGTACGATGCGTATTAAGTAGAAATCTAATTGGTCAACCCCTGAAGTATTTTTATTGAACGTCGATTTTGGAGTATACCATTAGGTTCATCAATTAATATTCCAGATCAGAAAACAGTTGAAACGTTTTTTGAAATCTGGTTTGTGGAAGAGCAATTTTAGATGAATATCTAGGTTCATCCACGCGCTAAAACATCTCCTAAATACTCAATCTAACATTGAGTATCTGTCACAGCGTATGCTTCTAGAAAATCGAATTTAGATCAACCTCTATGTGGCCACGTCTTAAACAACATCCCCGAAAACCTCTATCTCGCAGAGATCCAACTTTGGATTTCACCTCTTGGTGTTGAAAGAACGTCGCAGATAACAGAGCAATTATGAATTAATTTTACAGTATTTGCTTCTAGAAAATGCAAGTTTAGATCAATCTCCACGTGTTGATGTCTTAGGAAACATCCCCTAAAGCTTCGATGTCGCACAGATCCAACTTCGAATTTCACCTGCACATTAAAGGTACGTGCACAGGTTCGTTGCGCATTAAATAACGACTGAAACCTCATCAGAGGCGCCAGCAGAACCCAAGTCAACGTCCACGCGTACTATCGACGACCCTATTCAAACGATGTTCGTAAAAAGAAGATCATGTACTCACCGGTATGCGTCCTCTTGTGTATCTTGAGATTCTCGGACCTGGCGAACACCTTTCCGCATCCGGGGAACGGGCAGGGAAACGGTTTTTCTCCGGTGTGCACCCTGATGTGATTGACGAGCTTGTATTTGGCCTTGAAGGCCCGGCCGTTCCGCGAGCATCCCTGCCAGAAGCACGCGTGCGTGGTGCACTCGGGTCCGCCCACGTGTTCGACGGTGAGGTGCGTCACGATATCGTGGAGGTTGTTGAAGAGTTTGCCGCATAGCTTCCTTCCGGGTCCGGGCGAATCCTGGTCCACCCACATGCAGGACATGTCGTGGCGTGGTCCGCCGGTCGCGGCACCGGCCCCACCACCGCCGGTCCCATTGCTCCTCATGTACCTGAGGAACGCGCCATGGGGATGATGACTTGGATGGCTGACCGCCGGGTGCTGTTGATGATGAATAGATGCGGGGGTGAGGTGCGGAGCACCCAGATACTGGTGATGGGGCGGTAGCCGGGAGTCCTGGGGATAGTGTCCGGGGTAGTGACTGGCCGCCAGAGGATGCTGACCTGGATGATGAGGAAACTGCTGCATAGTGGCGGCGGTGCTGTCATGGTGCAACGGGGTGAAGAGTCCAAGGCCGCTTTCGGGGGTGGTAGGATTCGCGGTGGCGTTGAACTCGTGCTCCCTCCTGAGCAGAAAGTCGCGAGCCGCGTAGCCTGGGTGATGGCTCATGTGGTGGCCCATGTGCGGCGCCATGTGCGACGCCGGATGGGGATGATGGGGCGGATAGCCCTGGGGATGGAAGTGGTGGTGCTGCTGCGAAGGAGCCTCGCCCGGGGCTGGTTGCACACCTGCGCCAGCATCCGAAGATCCTCCGGTGGCACCAGCCCCACTGGGTGACAGCTTGATGCCCAGGTTGGCCAGGTGGTGCGGGTGCGAGGACACCCCGTCCAGGAAAGCGTTCATCATCGTGGTGGATTGCGTTGCTGTTCAACGTTCTACCACCGGAGATACAAGAATCATGTCTCACGCGTAGCGCTTCGTGGATCGCGCAAAGTCTCGTTGTAATCCCAAGGACGTTTTCGAATAGTTCGTTAACGGGAGGAACGTCGCGCACTCTATCACTGAACGGCCACACTGTCTATGTAAATGCACTGGCGTGTTCACTGGCTATCGCGAGATATGAACGGGGACCCCTGTAGGATTATCCTTCCAACTATTTCAACGAGCCACTGTGTAACCGACTCGCAGCAAGAGGTTCCGCTTCAAAATCCCAAAACGGTAGCACTGTCGAACTGTCTGTTCTTCGCGGTGGTGTTCTCACTTGGGAACTCTGGATTCGGCCCGTCGGTCTGGGAGCGGCGACCCGGCGCGAGTTAAACGTCCGCCGTGAATCCCACGAGCCCGCTCTCGGAAAACGAGACCGACTGCGTTGTTCCTGTATACGGCCAGTCGAGGCAAGCGGAAGAGGAGGACGATGACGAGCACGACGACTCGCGTCAACGTCTCCAACGCACCGTACAGGGAGGGTGAAACATCCGTGGTGTTCCTTGCTGCGTTCACAGCGGGACTGAGAGCAAGGACTGGGCTCCCGCCGAGGAGCAACTCGGCCGATTTCGGCATTTACGAGCCTGCCCTCTCTCTTTGGCCCGCTCTGCCCGTTCGGACGCGTTCACACTGATACGCTCCGCCACGCTCTGCCCCTCTTTGTCGAATCGTCCTTCTCTTTCACCTCCTCTCGCTCGCTCATCGGCACCTGGAACCGCCGTTCGGGAAACCTCGTGCGTTCTCGCCGCACCAAACTGTGGGCACGCCCACTTATCCCACTCTGGGGTCAGAGAAAGACCGTGGATGGAACCACAGGCTCCACCACTGGTTGACGTTTCCTCGTGGATACCAGCGCTCCATTGGCGACGATGGCACCACCGTCACACCTCGCCCAGATCCAACAATTGGGGGACAGCCAGCCGATTCGGCTGTCCACCAATCCCGAGCGCCTCTCATGGGCGTCTTGCTGATCACAGCGCATGTCGCGAATCCGCCCTCACGGATACGCCCATCGAAGGAGGATGGCCACAACGTCGTCGCGACGTCGACGCCTGGACGACGTTATCGGAGGTGAGTCGATCGCGTGCAACGCATTGGTTCCGAGAGGTAGGCCACCCTTTTTTACGTCCTTCATTTCCAAACTGGATTCGGAGCAATTTATACGAGAACCTTGTTAATCTTTGCATGTTGCTCGAAAAATGTTTGCACCAATAATTACAATATCTACGAAGTATGATCTTATTATATTAGTTATACTTTATTATATTTATTTTTATATTTGTTTTTATAAATCATCCTGATCCCAAAAAAGTTGACATTACTGCACTTCAATGCGTTCTAACAAATTTTCTTTCATGGAGATATCCACAGTTTAGTAAACAAAATCTTCTGCATAGAAGCAACGTTTACATACTTAGCTAGATCATCAATCAATGATGAAATAGAAAATTATTATTAAATTCTGTAATGAGTGGACAAAAGACGATGACATGAATTTGTCGATTGAAACACACAAGTCATAATTACAACCAACTTTTATATTTAAAATCTAACACCTTAAAAAAACTCTATACTTTAAATGAGCTATCCTCAGCACAACTTGAAATTGGATGACGCTACACTCCGAATACAAATAAACAACCAAATCCTCGTAAAGTAGAATTCGAAAGCACACGTAATCCTATTATAAGGTAACGAGGATTAGCCTTCCGATCATATTAAACGCTCGCGTGCGTGTCTATCAACGAAAATCGTGTCGAATCTTTAGATTACGCGATTACCGAGCACACTGAGCGCAACTCAGGTAACCGTAGGGACGGACTAGAAAGGATTAGATCGTTTCAATCGTTCTTAGGTAAGTACCGTCGCGATCATAATACTTTGCAAGGAGTGTCGCAATGCTCCGCGATCGTGATTTATGTATCACGGTTTTTCCGGTCGCGGTGTCCGAGAAGCGGCTCGAAGATGCAGTCTCGTGCACCGCGAATCTTAGCGCGCGATTAGGGGAAAAATATGAAGCCCGAAGCAGAAAGTCCGCGGAGTCACGCGAACCACTCGTTTATAAATTACAGGCCGAGAAAACGAGGTGGAAATTTCTCGGTTGACGTTTCAGCCCCACTCCCGGTCGATAACTGGATACGGTCGTAATCACGCGAGCATTCGTTCGAAGTTTACTTATCCAATTAACCGAGTTTACTCACTTCCAGCCTCGATTAATAATCAACGACCCGCGTCGCGGCGCCGACGCTTTTTCCGTGTTTCCGTGCGAGCTTCCGCGTTCGAATGATCATCGGAAAGCATCGGGCATAACACGGAAGAAGATCGCGGGCGATGAATTAAATTCGCCGATATCTCATTCGTCGGAAACGTCCGTGCGGGCGTTTATTTACTCGGCACTCGTGAAAATTATGAAATCGTTGAATTATCGCCCTCTTTATGCGTACCTGGCATTTTTGGAGTCGTAAAACGCGAGAAAACGTTACCGCTAACAAGCCTTAAAACGCAGTTTCCACTGAGTTTTTATTACAGGAAAGTTTTTAATCGGCGGAATAAATTTTTCCCTTATCCTGATCTGTGCCACGTAATTTACGAATGAACGCTCGCATAAAGAAGCGTAATGTAATAGTCGCTTATTTTTAGATTGCGAATATTTATGCGACTGCATTTTTACGCACGCGTTCGAAAACGAACCGGTTTTACAATTAATATGCCAAAATACTAATTAACCGTATGCGACAACAATCTATGATTTACGTTTCTTATTCAATTGGTTGTGCATAGAGTAGACGCGGTACCCTAAAATCGACATTATTATGCAGAATTTTAAAACGAGTTCCAATGTTTCACTGTTTCAGTCATACTTTGTGTTCATTTGTAAAAATTCAAAAACCGGTGTTTGCATAACCCGGAGTCCAGAATCATTCTATTTCCTTAGCAAAACGTTCTAGGATCGAATTCCTGGTTCCAGCAAGGATGGATCCCGGCGAATCTTCGCCGTGCCCATTAATTAATTACAGTACACGGTTTCATACCTCGGATCGTTAGCCCATCTCCCACGGGTTCCCTCTCAATCAATATCGAACCGTGCCGGACGTTTTGAAATCCCTGACGCGAGAAAGAAAGTCGACGAAGGTATGTTCCCATCGCGTTGAATCTAATCATCGACGGGGAATTAATCGTGCCATCGGGAATATCGATGGGAAAGGGTTAGAAACTACACCTGTTTCAGGCCCTCGACTAGCTCGGGATCGGTTCGTTACACCGGCCAGGTAAAGTTTGCCATACGGACATCGGAACCAGCACGATTCATGACTGGATGATTAGTGGGTTCTCGCGAATAATGAAAATGAATGGTCCTAACCCGAATGGAGCACCTAGCGGTACTGTCCAAGTACATTGTTATCCCAATAAACAAATAACCGTAGAATTAGTGAGCCAATTTATCGACGTAATCCTTTCGGTGAAAGCAGGTTTTTCCTAAGCTGTCATCGAAAAAAGCCCGGGATAAATTTGGGTACGCGCCACGGGACACCGTAATTCCTAAACAATGAAGTTTGAAGTTAGGACAGTAAATTTCATTCAGTTCTCTGCAATTGTTCCTCACTGTGTAAACAAAATTAGATATTTTATGAAAAGCAGGTACAACTTCTCGAATCGCACAGGTCGCTTTTATAGCCCCCGATTGTTAACTTGACTTCGGTATATGTTGTTTACGGTAAATGTTACAATAACACTTGTTAACAATCAGAGTAAGTGTCTTATTGTTACTTTTATAAACTAATATAATAAAACAGCTGTTTTTTGTATTCCGTAAATCTAGTGTTAAAAGTTTAAGCCTCGCGTGGACGACCGATTTTACAACTAATTTTATATANTGACTTCGGTATATGTTGTTTACGGTAAATGTTACAATAACACTTGTTAACAATCAGAGTAAGTGTCTTATTGTTACTTTTATAAACTAATATAATAAAACAGCTGTTTTTTGTATTCCGTAAATCTAGTGTTAAAAGTTTAAGCCTCGCGTGGACGACCGATTTTACAACTANTATATATATATATATATATAATATATATTATATTATTATATATTATATTATATATTTTATATATTAATATACAAAATATTAATCTTTCTATTGTTGGTGGTAATTTCGAAAAATTCTTTCATAAGCCTACCATTGTTAATATTTGAGTTTTGCCTTATAAAATTATAAGGCTGCTTTTGAAACATTCCGTAACATCTTCGATTTGTTATATATTATATCCTGTTATTATTTTATTGTTCATACGGATACATAGATCTGGTTCCATTTTTTCGTTCTATCTTAACTAGCTAACTTTTCTCAAGTGTTTCATTTTATTTCTTGCGAAAGTAACGTGTTCGTTATCTCATATTATGGTTGCGTTATCCTTTAATTACACCTTATTTTCCCTATCATTCGAACTAGCCTCTAAATACAACAACGTAATAATTTCCCAAAAATAACTAGCAACTCGGCCTCCCGAATGTTAAAACAATAGGGGAGATGGTTGTAACACGGTGGCGGTTGTAACACGTTAAATATCTGATAAATATTATTACACAGTTCAGATATACATATAATGTAAAATGACATTTACCATATTTTATTAATAACTTGGATATTCCTTAATGCAAATCAAAACCATTGTAACTGAATAATTTCAGATAAGTAGGTAACAGGTTCGTACAATAATTGTCGATGTAAATACAATAGTTTATATGCAATCGTGTTCTAAAATCGAAGTGTTACAACCGTGATCGATCTCCCATATCGAACATCGAAATAAGAATAATAATTTTGGATTACGATATTTCGCGTACAAATTAGTAGAGCAGCCTTTTGCAACGATTGTTGCAAAATAAAGATAGAATTTCTCTGTCATTGATCCGCGTGCTACCTGCTTTTCTCGGTTACCTGCGTCGACAGGTTATTTACGGATCCACTGCAGCGTAACCCTAATAATCTCATGCGACAAACGAACTTCCAATACTGGTCTAATGAAAATGAATGTGGCCAAGCTGTAAACCGGTTGCGGAAATCGGCTATTGAAACTTACCAGCCTTGTGCAACGTTTTTCCTGGAAATGGCGGTTGAAAGGACGTTGGCCGCACCCGTTTCGCCAGCGACAATCGCTCCCTAAGGACAGAATAAGCGTGTATACAGGAGAAAGTTATCAAATAGTTAATGCTGAAATTGATGCGAACGTGATCTTAATTGCTTACGGAGTATATACTAGTGTAGACGTTATTTTTGAGTCAATTATGCAGAGGAAGAATCAGAACTTAAGAGACCCTTAATCTACACTGCCATTTACTTTATTCANTGTAAACAAAATTAGATATTTTATGAAAAGCAGGTACAACTTCTCGAATCGCACAGGTCGCTTTTATAGCCCCCGATTGTTAACTTGACTTCGGTATATGTTGTTTACGGTAAATGTTACAATAACACTTGTTAACAATCAGAGTAAGTGTCTTATTGTTACTTTTATAAACTAATATAATAAAACAGCTGTTTTTTGTATTCCGTAAATCTAGTGTTAAAAGTTTAAGCCTCGCGTGGAC